GGGCTTAAAGTGATTGGAGATAATGCATTCCTATAGCAGAGTATTTATGAAAGAGGAGAGAGATTCTGGTTTGGCCCCCGTCCCAACCTATGCTCTTCTCCACACTCCACACATTAAAAACCATGTTTTTTATTTCTTTTCTTTTCTTTTTTTTTTAAAGTGTTTTTTCTGGTTGCCTCTGATTAATATCCTTGTGCTCTCTGAGACCCAGAAAGTGGTTTGGTTTTCTGAGGACACTTTAACAGCAGAGTGATTTACAGAGCAATTTATTGGAGCCAGGGGCAACGTAGCATCACAACACATTTCTCCCAGGCTTTCTCCCTGCAGTTGCCACGAGTGCAAATCCACTGACAGGAAAAGCCAAGGTGCAGGATCTGAGCAACAAAACAGATAAGCAAGCCCAACTTCTTTTGAGCAATATTCTATTGACTACAGTTTCACAATTTAGAGTGTTTTAGTCGTCGAATTTGGCCTTTTTTTTTTTTTTGCTTGTGTTTTTCCCGTGTACGTGGCGTAGAGTTATTTATGGGCTCTCACAAAGGCTGCTGACTGCTGACTCCTTGTCCTAGGCGATAATCCGAGAGGCCACTGCTGTTGTTACTGCTCCCCTCCCTTAGGTTTGCACTCATCTGAGCACTCACGGAGCGAGGTTCAGTGACCCTTGTGCTGCGGCCAAGGACACGCACACTCAGGAATATTGTGAGATGCTTGTCCCTGTCATCCTCTGGGCAGTCACTGAGGGTCCCAGCTGAATATGATTAAAAGTTCTTTCTGATTTATAGAGTCTACCCCACCCCCACCCCGTTCTCACCCTGGGCCACTTGAACTTGATCATTAAGATGCAGCAGGTGTGCGATATTGTTTTGCTATAAAACGAAATGGGCTTAAAGTGATTGGAGATAATGCATTCCTATAGCAGAGTATTTATGAAAGAGGAGAGATATTCTGGTTTGGCCCCCGTCCCAACCTATGCTCTTCTCCACACTCCACACATTAAAAACCATGTTTTTTATTTCTTTTCTTTTCCTTTTTTTTTAAAAGTGTTTTTTCTGGTTGCCTCTGATTAATATCCTTGTGCTCTCTGAGACCCAGAAAGTGGTTTAGTTTTCTGAGGACACTTTAACGGCAGAGTGATTTACAGAGCAATTTATTGGAGCCAGGGGCAACGTAGCATCACAACACATTTCTCACAGGCTTTCTCCCTGCAGTTGCCACGAGTGCAAATCCACTGACAGGAAAAGCCAAGGTGCAGACCACACAGGGACCTCAGTAAATTCACTGAAAGAACAAAGGCACAGGCTACCAAGGGTCATTTTGAATACCCAAACATGTAGTAGGGACTCATTAACCCCAGGAAAACCCAAGCCGAGTGAAAAGCAGGCAGGGGCGCGGTGGGGTGGGGCTCTGAGAGGTCCGTGTTGCCACTCGGCCATGTCAGCTGCAGAGAGCACATGTTTGGCAGCACCGTCGATTTCAGCAGCATGGGGCTGAATACAGCTTCCCCGAACCCTGACTGTTGTATGAGCCAGTGCCGAGGAGCAGACTAGAATCAGATCCGTACGACCCATGGGTGTGCTGATGACATTGTGCAAGGCAAGTGGCCCTTCTGCTCTGCAGAGCAGACGTGCTTCTCATTTCAGAACCAGTTCACAAATCATGGAGAGGTTTAAAAGGAAGTTCTGCTTGTTAGCAACCATTTCCTCTTAGAGCATTAGTGCCTGTCTGGCAGACCTCACACAACCAGTCCAGGGTGCACAGCGACAAGGATTCCAACAGCGTCATGAGTTATCGGGCAGCTCACTGAAGAAAGACTTGGTCATTAGCCCCGGCTCAGTGCCGCAGGCAGCCTCCGAGCCTCGACTAAGAGCCAGCCTCTGCCCCTGGTTGGGATAAGCAGCTGCCTGTGGAGTTTGGCTCTGGACTTGACTGATGATTCATCTGAGCAAGTTTTTCCCTTGCTGACTCCTCAAATTCCCAGACTATAAAAAGGAGGATTTGAGGGGGGCCTCTAGGTCAGTCAGTGAGTAACTCTTATTAAACCGCCACCATGTGTCTAGCATCGGGCCTGCTGCTATGGTCCCTGACAAAGAAGGCATAAGGTCCCATCTCATAAGGAGTCTGTAGTCTAGTTGGGAAACCATGTAAGTACATGTAAAACAATTTTTTAAAATGCTGAACCGTATAGTGTTGAATTGCAATTGAAGTTGCATTTAGTAGTATTAAATGCAGCTGAAGTTGCATAAGAGTGTGCTCATGACTGGGAGTAGGACAGAAATGCTGGGTCCTCTGGAAGTCAAATGAAGGCAATGTAATGCTCACAAAGTTTCCTATACCATGACAAGTTCGCAAAAAACAAATGAAAGTATCATAGTTTGAATTATCCTTCCTTCTGGACATTTAACAGGTGCACTGCGGACGGGGTGCATCCAGAACTTTCATAGTGAGGTGGCCATCACCCAAGACGGCCCAAATGATCCTTGCCTCCTAGTATTCACATTCTTGTGTGTTTCCCTCTCACACTGTGTCAGAGTTGGACGGGTTGCATCCAGAACTTTCATAGTGTGGTGACCATCACCCAAGACGGCCCCAATGATCCTTGCCTCCTAGTATTCACATTCTTGTGTGTTTCCCTCTCACACTGTGTCAGAGTTGGTCTGTATGACCAATAGGATATGGCAGAAATGATGGTATGCCACTTCTGAGAGGAGGTTATAAAAGATACTGCAGCTTCGTCTTGGTCTCTGTCTGTCTCTCTGTTTCTCTCTCTCTCTCTCTCTCTCGCGCACTGGGCAAAGCCAGTGACCATGTGCAGCCCTATGGAGAGCAGCCATATGCAGAGGCCCATGTTGCGAGGAACTAACATCTACCAACAGACACATGTGTGAGCTTAGAATTGAATCCTGTAGCTCCAGCCAAGCTTTCAAGTGACTGTCACTCTGGCCAAAAACTTGATTGCAACTCCATGAAAAACCTTGAGCCAGAACCATCCAGCTAAACTGCTCCCGGACTCCCAAGCCACAAGAACTATGTAAAATAGTACGTGTTGGTTGTTTTAAGCCACTATCATTGAGTCCTATTCCCTTCTGGGCCCACCCCGCCTCTGTACTCCAGTGTTCAGCTCTGCCTGTGCTTTGTCCTCTTAGGCTTAGCAGAATCAGGACATCTGATTGTAACGCTCTTGTACCTGGGGCCCAATTTGTACAAGCTCTTTCAAATTCAAGGTTGTCAAAACTTTTCTCAGCCTCTGCTGCTGCTGAGTTTTCAGGAGTAGAGATTTCCCTGGCCTTGGGTACAGCAGACAGTGCCACTGAGCACTGCACAAGCGTGGGTCTTCCGCCTGCTAATGGGATATGACTCACAGTCTTCTGTGTGGTTTGTGAAAACCACCAGCTGGAATCAAATCTGCAAGGAATGGCACCCCCACCTTCCCTGCAGCAGTGGCCGTGACAGCATGAGACGCTGATCCAGAGACCGTTCAGCGGCTTTTGCAGTTGAAGGAACGGTCTGAGTCAAGAACCGTGAAGCTGCCCACAGACATTATGGTGAAATCCTACCATTGGCAAAGCTCCTGATGAACACAGTTTTGGCCAAAGCTGAGTCCTGATGATGTTGTCACCGTGGCTGGACTGTGTCAGGGCTTGTCGCACTTTGGTGAGATAGCAGGGAACCAGGGCGGGACCCCAGCGGACCCGGGGAGGCAGAGCATGGCGCAGCCTCACAGGCACTCCGCCTCCATGGCCGTCACCCACGTCTCCTCCGTCCAGTGTCTCTGCTGTGGCGAGAGGCAAGACCACCACCCAGCTTTCTAAACTCTGGGGGGGAGTTGTTTTGGAGCCCCCACAAGTCTCCATCCCCTCACACAGCCACGTGTCTCGGAGCGAACTTTCTATTTTTCCAACCCTTCTTCTGTTCTCCATTCTCACTGCAGCTGCCTCAGTTTTGTGCCTGGGTTGTTCCTGTTGCCTTATACCTAATGATCAGAGTTTTCCTTCCGAGATAGAGATATAATCACATCATACTTTTTCTGGGAGACATTCAGCATCTGTTGCCGACAGGGTATAATCCAGAGTATTGAACGTGGTGGGCAGAGTTCTCCAAGTTCCATGAATGAAAATCAAGATAGGTGTTGCACACGTAGTGTACAGATCTTGGTTTGAATCCTGGTTTCATCACTTCAGTTCTCTAAGCCTCGTTATCTCTTTTGTAAAATGAGGTGATAATGCTCGCCCGCTGCCGACCTAGCACGCAGTAGGCACGCCACAAGTACTGTTGAGTGCGTGCGCACGTTGCCCATGAGCACACGAATACCACTCACACTCCCTGTCTCTTCCCTGTGGTGGTGGCGTTGGAGAGCGGGTTTATGTATTAAATGACCCTCTCTCTTAACTGTAACCAAACTACCATTGCTGTGAGTGTGTGTTTTAAGTAGCGGTTATTGAACTACTTATAATCTCCAACCTCAATCTTTTCATCCACATTCAGGCATGACAGTCATTCCTAAATCCTGGCCTTGAGTGATTTGTTTTCTCTTCATATAGTATTATTTTCTTTCTCATCCTAGCAAACTTTTTTGTTTCTTTATGTTTTATTTATTTTTTCCTGTAGTTTTACCAAAATCCTTGTGAAAATTCAGCCTATCCTCCTGAATATTGCCAGACCACTCCACCCCTCCTCTTCTCACAACACCCTTGTGGGTTTTTTGTTTGTTTGTTTGTTTAATTTAAACATAATTGATTATACATATTTGTGGGGTACAGAGTTGACTATCAATACCTGTGTACAATATGTGAAGACCAAATCAGGATAATTAGTACATTCCTCATTACAAAACATAATCATCCTTTGTATCAATTAATGAATTCTCACGAATACCCCTCCCCGCATATTTGTGGGGTACAGAGTTGACTATCAATACCTGTGTACAATATGTGAAGACCAAATCAGGATAATTAGTACATTACTCATTACAAAACATAATCATCCTTTGTATCAATTAATGAATTCTCACGAATACCCCTCCCCCCTTTCCCATCTCTAGTAACCACAGTTCTGTTCTCTCCTCCCAAAAGTTCAGCATATTATTGTGATTGTCTTCCTTCCTTCCTTCCTTTCTATTTATTTATTTTTAGCTCCCACTTATGAATGAGGATATGTGGTATTTCTCTCTGGCTTATTTCTGCCCGGCTTATTTCACTTAAGATAATTTTCTCCAAGCTCATCCATGTTGCTGTGAATGGCAGGATTTCATTCTTTTTTATGGCTGAGTACTACTCCACGGTGTATATGTACCACCTGTTCTCTGTCCAGTCATCCATTGATGGTTCTATAACTTGACTGTTGTAAATAGAGCTGTGATGAACATGGGGTGCAGGTGTCCCTTCGACATGATGATTTCCAGTCCTTCACAACACTCTAGTAAATACAAACTTCATGCCTTCACGATTTGATAGAAATATTCCGGGTTCATCCCCACAGGTCATTTTTTAGATATCCCTCTGCTATATTAAAGCCCTTAACAAAGAAGTTTTCTACATCCTTTCTCAGTCATTACCCAAGCAAAAGCAAGTGGCACATCATCAGGTGAATGGTATCTCTCCTCTTATTCTAGAAATCCCAAGACCACCAACAGAGAAAATGGTTTATTTGGGGAGACACAGCCTCACCTAAGACAATTAAATTTTGTGTCCGCAAAACAGTAGAAAGCTCCTAGTAAGTACTAAGAGCTACGTCTCCCTCTTTGGTTCCCTTCATATTCGTGTCAGTCAATATTTTCTGGTTGCCAACAACAAACACTAACTGTAGTTAACTTAAGGAAAAGGGAATGAGTTGGGGAGATTTTGCCCAGGCACTATGCTGAAATGGATGTTCTCAAAACTGTGTGTGTGTGTGTGTGTGTGTGTGTGTGTGTGTGTGTTCCGCGTCACCTCATTCTATCTTCAGAATTCCAAGACAGAGACTCTTGCCACTCCTGCTAGCACGGTCTGGCTTGTGACAAGAGCCCAACCTGCAGGTGCTAGTAGGAGTGTGAATAGATTCTGGGTGGTCAAAGAATCAAGCAGGGTCCCCTCCAGTGACACATCCAAGCCTTCCCAGCCTGACTTCAGTCTGCCCCTCTCTGTGTGCTCCAGTGTCACACGCTCTCTCAGACCCCTGGGGCTTTTGTGACTTGACTCCTTCTGCTTGACATTTCCCTCCCACTCCTCCCATGGAAGTCCTATTCATCCTTCAAAACTCGAATGTCACCCCAAGAGAAGATATAAACATGGTCAAAAAGTACATGATGAGACGCTCAACGTCACTAATCCAAAACCACAATGACTACATTACAATGTGTCAAGAAAGAGAGAAAATAAAGAGAAAGGAAGGGAAGAAAAAAGAAAAGACCATAAGAGGTCACCTCACCCCCACTAGGGCACCTGCAATTTAAAAAAAACCACAAGAACAAAAACAGACAATAAGTGTTGATGAGGATGTGGAGAAATTGGAGCTCTTGTGATCAGTTGATGAAAATATAAAATCGTGCCGCTGCCGTGGAAAGAAGTAGGGTGTTTCCTCAAAAAAAATAAAAATAGGATTACCACATGATCCAACAATTCCACTTCTGGGTCTTTACACAGATGAATTTAACGCAAGTTCTTGAAGACATACTGTACACCTGTGTCTACAGCAGCATGATTCATAATAGTCAAAAGGTGGAAGTGACCCGAGTGTGCAATGACAGGTGAATGGACAGGTAAAGGTGCTCTATGCATACGATGAGACGTCATTCAGCCTTAAAAAGGGGGAAATTCTGACATAGGCTGCAATATGGGTCAACCTTGAGGACATGATGTTAAGTGAAATAAGTCGGCCACAAAGAGACAAGTGCACCAATCCACCCACGCGAGGCACCTGGAGAAGTCGCACTCACAGAGGTGGAAAGCAGAACGGCGGTTGCCAGGGCCTCAGGGTGCAGGTGCACAGGACAGGTGGGGAGCTGCTTTTGGGTGGCTACGGAATTTCATTTCTGAAGGACTTCTGTGGATGGATGGCGGTGATGGTTTCACAGCAGTGTGAATGTACTTAATGCCACTGAACTACACACTTACACATGTTTAAGATGGTAAATTATGTTATGAGTATTTTGCCACAATTAAAAATAATAATAAAAAATGAATATCAAAAACAGGGCCACCCAAATTTCGTAAGCTGCGCCCACTATACTCGTACACAAATACTACTCCTACCCATATGGTATATAAAGAAAATCCTCTGATGATGTATTTAAAGGAAAACTAAATTTTAAATAAAGACCATTACTTTAAAAGCAAAGGAACAGGGCCCTCCAGCGTCCTCACCTCGGTGCACTCTTCCAGGACAGTGACTCTCAAATGGACAGTGGCTCCCAGACGGGCTGTAGACGAGGATCCCCCGAGGAACCTGTTCCAGCACCTGCGGGCGTCTGACCTGTAGGGTCTGGGACGAGGCCTGGGAATCCTCACGTGTAACAGGTCGGAATCCGCCTGGGACGGTCCCCGCGCTCTGCGCCACGGCTCGGAACCGGCCCCATCCCCGCCCTTGCCTGGGCCCCTCACCTGGACGGGGTCCCGGCTCAGGTGGGCTCAGCACAGCCCCAGGAGGCATGGGTGGCACGTGGCACGTGCCCGCTGACTGGGTCGCTGTCTTTTGAGCCGTGTTCGCGGGTGTCGTCGTCAGAGGGGACCGGCTGGGCGTCATTTCCCGGCACGGCCCCCTGCTGCAGTGACAGGCCCCGGGCATGCGCTCCCAGCAGGACGGGTGGCCGGGTGTGGCGAGGGCAGGTGCAGGTCGTGGGGTCTGCAGAGGGGGGATGACGTCCACCCGGAGAGGCAGTCGAAGTCCCAGACGAGGGAGGCACAGGATGACCACTGCGTGATGTGGTCGTGTCCCGTTAGTGACAGGAAGCGTGTGCGCCTCGGGCCCTCGGGCCCTGGCCCCAAACGCCCTTCCCTCCAGGGGTCCCCACCCGG